ATGCTGCATTCTAACCCCGGCTTCTCTGCGCCACCAGATAAGGGCTCCTGGGATTTAAGGAGGGCGAGGTCTCCATCGCTTCCTCCTCAAAGGGATTCCATGCCAGCCACTCTCTTAACTCCACCCTCGACTTCAGTTGCTGATTCCACCACAGGCCGTGATGCTTAGGGTGGAAAGGCCAGCCAGGAGACCTGCCGCCTTCTTCCATTGGAGCATCACGGCTTCGCTAACCTGGCACAAATCCATAGCAGTAGCACTTAGACTTATATACCGCTTCACGGTGCTCTACAGCCCTCTCTGAGCGGTTTACGGAGTCAGCATCTTGTTCACACACACACACACACACACACACACACACACACACACACACACACACACCGGATGCTCATTTTACCGACCTTGGAAGGATGGAAGGCTGAGTCAACCTTGAGTCAATCCTTGAGGATTGAACTCCTGGCCAGTAGAAATGCAGAGCTAGCTTGCCACACAGGTAGTCCTCTACATATGACCCGCAGTCGAGCCCAGAATTTATGTTGCTAAGTGAGACATTTGTTAACGGGAGTTTTGCCCCATTTTACGATTTTTCTTGCGACATTTGCTAAACGAATCGCTGCAGTTGTTAGAACAGTAACCAGGTTGTTAAGCGAACGTGGCTTCCCCCGTTGACTTTGCTTGTCAGAAGGTCTCAAAAGGGGATCGCTGGAAAAGTCATAAAGGTGAGTCAGTTGCCAAGCAACCGAGTTTTGATCACGTGACCGTGGAGAAGGGGCAATGGTGATAAGAGTGAAAAACGGTCCCTTTTTTTCGGTGCCGTTGTCACTTCGGCCACCAAACCAACTGTTGTAAGTTGAGGATTACCTGTGCCGTATTCTAACCACTCCGCCACCGGGGCTGTACAAATGAACTTCTCTCTTTCCAGGAAACAAGTCCTGGGAACCAAGGTGGACGCCGAGAGGGACGGCGTCAAAGTCCCCACCACGTTAGCGGAGTATTGCGTCAAGACCAAGACGCCCGCCCCGGACGAAGGCTCCGACCTGTTCTACGACGACTACTACGAAGACGACGAAATGGACGACGAGGTGGAAAGCTGCTACGGGGACGAGGACGACTCCGGCAACGAGGAGTCTTGACGAGGGATTCCCCGCCCCCCTGTCTCCCCTTCTTCCGTGTCTCCCCTTCCTGCCCCCCTCCCTCCACCGCTGCCTCCTGCTGCTGCACCTGATAGTAGCAATAAATTACCTGACTCATACTTGAACCCAGGACGCAACCGGCTGAGACCTGGAACCCCACCCACCCCCCGTTTGGCCCTGAGACAAAAGAAACCAAAAACTCTACCTCAAAAGGAACACTCGGCTTCTGCTTGACCGGGGAAGGGGGTGGGTGGGAGATCTCCCAGGGGGATTCAGTTGCTGTGTGTGTTTTGGGCTTCGACCTTTTCTTTTTTCTGATTTCTTTCTTTTTTTAATTTCCTTTTAATTCGGGGAGGATTTGGGTAGATGGAAGCGACTCCTGGTTCATCCTGGGCCGTTGCTCCGGCCGTCCGGCGGGGTGTTCGGGGCCCAACGCGAAGGAGGTGGACGGGTCCCTTCAGGGGGCAGGAACCGAGTGCGAGGTTTGGAATGGCTTTTGTGAGATGGGTTGTTTTTCCTTTTTAACAACGCCCCCCCCCCAAAAAAAAATACAGAGGAGAATTTCTGGCGAGGATTTCCTAGCTGCGCCGGACGGGTCAGGGTGACATCTTGGCCACACCGTGCTTGTAAAGCAGAGGCAGGAGTTGTGAAGTGGATGTTTCCTTCTCGTTCGCTCTGGAGACAAGGCCAGGAAGCCTCCCGAGGTTTCCTCCGCGCGAGAAAAATGGCTCCTTCCTTATTGCCAGTGCCAATTCGCTCCAGAGCACAGGTGCTTCGCCTCAGGTGCTCCGCCAAAGTTATGCTTAACCAAGATGGCTTCGATGATGGCTTAATCTGCTTTCTTTTCTCTTTCCTTGGCTTGACTTTCTTTGGGGGAGAGCCCCCAACTCCCTGGCTAGCAAAGGAACGGAGAACAAGTCACTGCCTGGGGCAGGGGTAGGCAACCTTGGCTCTTTTAGGACTCGTGGACTTCAACTCCCAGAATTCCTGAGCCAGCCGTGCTGAGGGGACAGGGAGAGGTTTCCATACTGAGCTATGCTGGCTCAGGAATTCTGGGAGTTGAAGTCCACGAGTCACAAAAGAGCCAAGGTTGCCTATTCCTGGAGTCACGGGGAATGACGGAGGAGGTGGGCTGTCCGTTGTGCAGCGTTGCGTGTTGTTTCTCCACCCTTGGGTGTGCGGCTAAAACGTAGCCAAAAAGCTATGCACCTCAAGTTCCCAGAGAACTCATTGCTGGATGTGGGACAGGCCCTGAAGTAAACGTTGTAGGGTGCACTCTTGTCTTCTCTACCAGTTTCACCAAGTAGCATCTCTTTCTGAAGCTCACCTCCCTCCGCTTTTTCCAGAGATCTTGAGCAAACGTTCCCACAACTCTGATTGAGCAGGGCCCCATACCTACAGCCAAGCAAATTATGGGGGGAGGCATGGAAGAGGAAGGGCCCTCAGCCTTCCTTCTTCTCACCTCCTCCTGCAGGGATTCCTCTCCTGATTTTCATTGTAGAGAGCAAACACCAGGCCCACCTTGAAAAGAGAAGGCACTGATGGGAGAAAGAGACTCTATCCAGCCTGGATGTCTCCCCTTGAACCCAGAGAGAGAAGATGGAGAGTGGATTAACAAAGACCAGTAGCCAAGCCCTTGAATTCCCTCAGAAATTTCAAAATCCAGATGTCCCACAACTGCTGAGAAAAATCTGAAAGACCCTAACTCGGAAAGGCCCAAGATTTAATACAGGGGTCTTCAAACTTGACCCTTTTATGACTTGTGGACTTCAACTCCCAGAGTTCCTCAGCCAGAATTCTGGGAGTTGAAGTCCACAAGTCATAAAAGGGCCACGTTTGAAGACACACACACACACCCTCTCTCTTTCTTCTTCCCTCTTTCTCCCTCTCTCCCTCTCTCTCTCTCCTGCATTCCTGCCTTTTGAAACTTTATTCCTTTGAGCTAGCTCTCCATTGGCTGATCCCTAGGATTTGACGTCCATCTTTTAGAACGGGAGGGAATTGCCCACTTCAAAATGTCCTCTCTCTGCTGTAGAAAGAG